GGTTGCAGTGAGCCAAGATCGCGCTACTGAACTCCAGTCTGGGGGACAAAGCGAGACACCATCTCAAAAACAAAACAAAACAAAAAACATATTTTAAGAACTGAAACTATAAAACCTTAAGAAAAAAAAAACAGAGAAAAAGGTCTTTGACATTAATCTTGGCAATGATGTTTTGAGTGGGACACCAAAAGTACAGACAACAAAAGCAAAAACAAAACAAACTACCTCAAACAAAAGCTTCTGTATAGCAAAGGAAACAATCAACATGAAAAGGCAGCCTATGCACTGGGAGAAAATACTTGCAAACTATATATCTAATAAGGGGTTAATAAGCAAAATATATAGGGAACTCAATAGCATTCAAATGAATAACCTGATTTTAAAATGGGCAAAGCATCTGAAGAGTCATTTCTTCAAAGACATAAAAATGGCCAGCAGGGATATAGGTGGCTCAACATCACTAATCATCAAGAAAATGCAAATAAAAAGCACAATGAGTTATCTCACAGGTTAGGATAGCTTTTATCAAAAAGACAAGAAATAGCAAGTGGTGAAGTTGTAGAGAAAACTGAACATTTGTACACTGTTAATCAGAATGCAGATTGGTGCTGCACTGTGGAAAACAGTATGGATGCTCTTAAAGATAGAACTACCATATGATACAGCAATCCCGCTCCTGGGCATATGCCTAAAGGAAACAAAATCACCACCTTGTAAAGATAACTATGTTCCCATGTTCATTGAAGCATTATTCACAGGAGCCAACATATGGAAACAACCAAGGTGTCCATCAACAGACGAATGGATAAAGAAATGATGCCATAATAATTTACATACATACCATGGAACTTCAGCATTAAAAAGGGAAGTCCTGCCATCTGCAACAACAGGGATGAAGCTGGAGGAGGACATCATGTTAAATGACGTAAGCTAGACACAGGAAGAAAAATACTGCATGATCCCACTTATATGTAGAATCTTTAAAACAAACAAACATCAACAACAACAAAAACAGTAAAATAGTGGTTACCGGGGTGGGGGAAATGGGAAAAGGTAAGTCAACATTGCAGTTATATAGGATGGACGAGCCTAAGAGATCTAATAGACAACATGAGGGCTTATAGTTAATAAAATTGTATCATATACTGGTAATTTGCCAAGAGAGTTGATTTTAGGTACTTATCACACACATGAGTATGTTATGATGGGTATGTTAATTTGCTTGACACATGGGTATGAGTATGTTAATTTGCTTGACCTTGATATACTGTATATATCAAGTTTATCAAAACATTGAACATATTAAATATATACAATAAAAAGAACATAAGAGGATATAGATATGTATATAACAAAGGAAGGGGAAAAATGAAAATAAAGTTTTATTTGATGAAACAACAAAAATATATATAGTTCTTTTTCTTTTTTTAGAGACAGGATCCCACTATATTGCCCAGGCTGGAGTACAGTGGCTATTCACAGGTGCAGTAATAGTGCATTATAGCCTTGAACTCCTGGGCTCAAGTGATCCTCCTGCCTCAGCCTGCCAAATAGCTGGGACTATAGGTGCACACCACTGTGCCTGTCTCATTTTTGATATAAATTCTTAAAACAGGAATACATGGATTCCTGATTAATAAAAAAAATCCAGCATTATGCTAAATCAAACAATGGACATATTGTTTAGGATTCAGACAAGCAATTTTACTCTCACCATATTTAATATTTTGGATATTTCAGAGCATTTAAACAAGTGTAAAAATTAAGTAGCCAAACAGTATTTTTCCAGGTATATTGAAGGAGTTGAATAAAAGATATTCGCCATAATTCAACAAGATAGCTGAAATCAATAGCTTTTCTATACACAACTAGTTACAAAGTATAGCAGAAGAAAAATCCCATTTCCAACATCCAAAAGACAAACCTTTAAAAATATGCAAGACCTAAATGGTAAAAATTTGAAAACCGAGACACACAAAGACCATTTGAACAAATGGAAAAACATATGCCATTCATGACCAACATGGTAAAACCCCATCTCTACTAAAAATACAAAAATTAGCTGGGCGTGGTGGTGGGTGCCTGTAATCCTAGCTACTCAGGAGGCAGAGGTTGCAGTGAGCCGAGAACACACCACTGCACTTCAGCCTGGGTGACAGAGTGAGACCCCATCTCAAAAACAAGACATACAGTCATGTTTTTAGATAGAAGCCTCTGTATGATTAAGCCTGTTCTTATTAATCTATTTATTTAACTTGATCTCAATAGAAGTACCAATTTCCCCTCAAGAACCAGACAGCTAATTTTAAAGTTCATATTGGGGAAAAAAATGCAAAAAAAAAAAAAAAAAAAAAAAAAAAAAAAAATCCAGGAAAATTCTGAAAGAATGAGAAAAGGTTAACTTCCCCTTAGCAGTTATGAAAAATATAAATATCCAAGTACAGCAACTTAAAACTGCAAAATAAGACAATAAAAAATAAAAATTTAGAACTGCATTAGGTACATGAAAATCAGATCCTAGAACAGAAATAGGTTAAAATTCATGTAGATTTAGTACTAATATGGGTGGCATTTCAGGTGTTCGTGGATAGACTTCAGATGAATCAAAGAACTCTCAAACACAAAAAGACGTGTTAAAGATTCATATACATAAAAGTGGCCGGGTGTGGTGGCTCACATCTGTATTCCCAGCACTTTGGGAGGCCAAGGCAGGCAGATCACTTGAGGCCAAGTGTTCGAGATCAGCCTGGCCAACATGGTAAAACCCCATCTCTACTAAAAATGCTGGGCAACACGGCGAAACCCCATCTCTACCAAAAGTTAAAAAATTAGCTAGGCATGGTGGCATGCACCTCTGGTAGGAAGGCTGAGGTGGGAGGATTGCTTGGGCCCATAAGTCAAGGGCTGCAGTGAGCTGTGTTCATGCCACCACACTCCAGCCTAGGCAACAGAGCAAGACCTTCTCAGAACAAAACACAGCAAAAAAATCAGATAGAAATTAAGATAATCTGGGACAAAACACTTTCAAACTTCTAACTGTAAAACTGCATGTATAAAGTACTAGAGCTCTTTAAATAGGGAAAGGAGACTACAAATGGCTAACAGATAAGGCCGGGCGCGGTGGCTCACGCCTGTAATCCCAGCACTTTGGGAGGCCGAGGCGGGTGGATCACAAAGTCAGGAGATCAAGACCACGGTGAAACCCCGTCTCTACTAAAAAATTACAAAAAATTAGCCGGGCGCGGTTGTGGGCGCCTGTAGTCCCAGCTACTCGGGAGGCTGAGGCAGGAGAATGGCGTGAACCCGGGAGGCGGAGCTTGCAGTGAGCCGAGATCGCGCCACTGCACTCCAGCCTGGGCTGGGCGACAGAGCGAGACTCCGTCTCAAAAAAAAAAAAAAAAAAAAAAAAAAAAAAAAAAAAAAAACAAATGGCTAACAGATTTAAAAAGTCTTATTAATAGAAATGCAAATATAAGCTACAAGGAAAACACCATTTTTCTATTAGTTTGGCAAAGGTCAAGAAGTTTCTTGGCACAAGTATGAAAAAACAGACATCCTCATCCATTGCTAATGGGAGTATCAATAAACTCCGGATGACAGTAATTGCAGAGTACCTTTTTACTCAACTTCTAATAATATATCTTCTAGAATCACAAATATCCATAGATGAATGTAAGACTGTTCATTACAGGCTTTTTCTTTGGTAGTAGCAAAAGACTAGAACAATCTGCTCACTAGGTACTATTTAAACAAATTATTACATATCCATAAACTGGAATACTATGTAGCTACTATTAGAAAAGTACATCATCAGACACATGGTTCAATAAAAATGTAAGATGAAGAGTGCCTATGCTCATTTGCTTAAAAATGCAGGGTGACAAACATAGCAGCTGTGCTAATTTAGGCACATATTTTAGGAGAATACACGTAAAACTGGCAAATAGCTGATTCCAGGGAGGAGATGGACTGAGAAGGGATCCCTAACCCCCAGGCCATGGTCTAGTACGGTCCATGACCTATTAGGAACCGGGCTGCGCAGCAGGAGGTAAGCAGTAGGTCAGAGAGTGAAGCTTCATCTGTCTTCACAGCTGCTCCTCATCGCTCGCATTACCACCTGAGCTCCCCCTCCGGTCAGATCAGCAGTGGCATTCGATTCTCATAGGGAGTGCAAACCCTATTGTGAACTGCGCATGTGAGGGATCTAGGTTGTGCATTCCTTATGAGAACTAATTCCTGATGATCTGAAGTGGAAGTTTCATCCTGAAACCATCCCCTGCAACCTTGGGTCTGTGGAAAAAAACTGTCTTCCATAAAATCAGTCCCTGGTGCCAAAAAATTGGGTACCGCTGCTTTACAAAGTGAAATTTTAAAAAGACGTTTTACCTGTTTTTAAAAACTTAATCCAAAAGCAAAAGTAATTTAGATTCAATGCCCATTTTAATGTTTGAATAGCATAGTTTCTTTGCTATGATCAAATGTTTTGAGAATCAGTCAAATGCTATTAATTCAGAATCAAGTCTGACATTTCTGAAATAGTGAAAATTAGAGTATATAAATTTGAAAATGTCAAGTAATTTTAATGAACATTTAGCAATATGAGCAGAATTTGTGCTATTAAGTTATACAAATCCAAGGCTTCCCTATTTAAAATAGGGAAAAAAATCACTGTAAATCTTTCTAGCGATATTTGTTAGAAGAAAAAAAAGTCAACAGTTGGTTATAAGAGTGAAATGGCTTATACTGAAAGTAAGACACACAGTAGATCCTATTTGTTCATTTTCATAGGTAGCTTTATTTGGTTTTTAGAAAAATATATACAATAATCGGAACCTCAGTTCTTAAATAGTTTTAAATTAAAAGTATACAAGTAAGAGGATATGTTTCCACAGTCAGAACATCAATACCGCTTAATAATGTAGATAGGAATTTCTGCAACAAGTCAAAACATTTACAGAACTCAGGAAGAGCAGCTTGTGGCTGGCAAGTCAGCCAGCTCAGAAAACAGGTAGGAGGGGAAGAGGTTTGATCTTTCCCCTTTAGTGTGAATTTGAGAAAGTGATGAAAGATTTACATGTTCACGTATCCTAAAGGCTAGAGCTTTCAATAAAAACATTAGAATGTAGGGGCGGAGGCCCTCTAGGGCGTATGCTAACAAGCTAACTTGGATCAAACAAAAATTTGCCATCTCAATTTGGTATTCAGTTTGATTTGGATATATTAGGATTACCTGTCAGTCACAGTTCAACTAGTTCAGATACAACAAAACTCAAGCATTTGGAGTATTTGTTAATGACATTTCTTTTGGATCAGACCCCTGCTTTCTCTTGAACATTCTTCTTAATGAATTCACAGTATTCAGTGTTTGCAAAAGATACTTGAGTTTGACAGCCCTCTGACTTTACATCGTTTTGAGAAGTTGCGCAAGGAAGCAGTAGGAACTGCCTTAGCTTTGTGCCAACTCGGCCCTTCTCCCCCATACTGTAGTAACTCCAGGCCTACTTCTCCAGTAGTATAGCTCTTCCCTCCACTGGTCCTTTTCAGGAATTGAAGTCTAATCAGTGCGCCAGCCAGAGGCCAGTTTGTCATGGGATTTCCTGGGGAGCTTAAATGGAAGTGGATCAGAGAACTGATACCAGTAGCCACCTCCTTTCCTCGTTGTATGCATTTGCTAAATAAGCAAAGCAATGAGGCAAATGTCACAAGCAACATCAGGCTTCCAAGTCTACAAACACTTGTCTGAATGAGAGAGGTGATAGGCAATAGGCAAATTAGTAGTAGAGCTAGAGGTTCAATTAAGAATGAGAGGAGAGTGATCGGTATTTTGTTCTCTGTTCATCTATTTCCTGCTTAGTTTTCTTGATGCAACTAAAGATCTCCTTAAACAACGCTTTGTATTCTGGAGGTGTTGTAGGGGAACTGACGGGCTCTGGGTTGACAGAGGCCAGTTCCCAGCCGCTGGCAACAGGCTCAGACTGGGCGTTCACTCCAGTCAGGTCCTTGGCCGGAGCCCTGGAGGTCTGTACAGCCTTGTGTGACAGGGAGTCCTGTTCCTGTTGGCACTTCTTCAGCAGCTCTTCATACTTCACCTTCAGGGCACTGTACTGTGTGTCCACTTCGTGCAGAAGGGAGATGCCCCTCTGTTTCACAGCCTTGGCCCTCCTGATGCAGGTCTCCTCATGGCCCTTCACGATGTCACTCCCTGCCAAGCTGCTGAGGATCGTCTCACTGCTGCTGCGCTTGAGAGGCTTTCTGTGTGGTTCCGGCACAGTCAGGAACATCTCTTCCAGCAGGCTCTGGCTGGGTTCTTTGAAAGGAACAAACAGAGAGTCTGGCACCAGCTTCTCAACCCCATTCACAAATGGATGCTCTGACTGCAACATCTGTCGCATCTCTGCCACCTCAGCCTCTAGTTCCAGCGCCCGTGCTCGGTAGGCACCTGTGGCCCCCAGCTGCTGCTCCAGTTCACTGTTCTCCTTTAACACCAGCCCATATTCCTCCTCCATAGTCACCCGCTTCTGCCGCTCCAGGCTCAGCTGGGCCTGCAACATTGTCACCGTTTTTTTCAAGTGCTCATTTTCCTCTTCATCAGGGCTTGGCTGACTTTGCAAGGAAGTGATCTTTTCAGCGAACACATGATCATACACGAAGTGTCTAGGGAAAAAAATATTGAAAGAATGTATTACACAGGTCCACTGAGAATGAAGTGAGGAAGACTGGTAATTTTTTTTCAACTAAATAAATTTGAGGAGCTGTGACAGTGACTGATTTTTTTTTCCTTTTTTTTTTTGAGATGGAGTCTCACTCTGTCGCCAGGCTGGAGTGCAGTGGAGCGATCTCAGCTCATTGCAACCTCAGCCTCCCGGGTTTAAGCAATTCTCCTGCCTCAGCCTCCCAAGTAGGTGGGATTTTAGGCATGCGCCACCATGCCTGGCTAATTTTGTATTTTTAGTAGAGACGGGATTTCTCCATGTTGGTTAGGCTGGTTGGTCTCCCAACCTCAGGTGATCCTCCTGCCTCGGCCTCCCAAAGTGCTGGGATTTACAGGTGTGAGCCACTGCACCCGGCCGACAGTGACTGATTTTTAGCCACACTGGAGCAGTGGCTAAAATGGAACTGTGTGAGGCTGGTAAATAAACACATGAAAGCAAACTCAGTTTTTGCGATGAATCTTTTTTTAATGTTGAAAGTACTAAAGAACATCTATTCCCAAAGACTGGCAGTATGCTAATGACCTCACAAGGGAAACCTTAAAAAGTACTGGTGCCTGGGTCCCAACCCACAGATTCTAACCTAGTTGGTCTGCTACCCGGCCTGAGGGTTTCTAAAGGCTCTCCAAATGATTCATAATACATAATTACGATTGAATCACTACAGCAAATTACTGTTGCTGTGGTGTTTAACCAGGAATGTTCATCAGAATTGCCTGGGCAGCTTTTTACCCACACCCAGAAATTCTGATTTAGGCCTGAGGGAATGTGTTGGTATCTGCAGTTTGAAAAACTCCACAGGTGATCTGATGTGCAGCCAAAGACCCACCAAATGAACCACCTGATTTCTCCTGCTCAGTCCAAGGCACCTTGCTTGACTATTTATTTGTGTTTTTATTTGCTTATCTGCCGTTCCGTTAGACTGAAAGCTCACAGGGATAGGAACTCTATTCTGCTCACCAGCCCTCAGGTCTGGCATAGAGCTTGCCATACAACAAGTGTTCCACAAATACTTCTTAAAGATTCAGACTTGGCCGGGCGCGGTGGCTCAAGCCTGTAATCCCAGCACTTTGGGAGGCCGAGATGGGCGGATCACGAGGTCAGGAGATCGAGACCATCCTGGGTAACACAGTGAAACCCCGTCTCTACTAAAAATACAAAAACTTAGCCGGGCGAGGTGGCAGGCGCCTGTAGTCCCAGCTACTCGGGAGGCTGAGGCAGGAGAATGGCGTGAACCCGGGAGGCGGAGCTTGCAGTGAGCTGAGATCCGGCCACTGCACTCCAGCCTGGGTGACAGAGCAAGACTCCGTCTCAAAAAAAAAAAAAAAAAAAAGATTCAGACTTGTAACTCTAAATTATAAAGGTACTTCTTTAAGCAAAAAATCTTGTTTGCTTGAATTTTTGTTTTACCAATATTTCTATAGTCTATCAGAAGTCATTCATCTTAAACTATGATTTAACACATTAAAAGCCCTGAAATAAGTGCTCTAAGACTTTCAAAATAAGAATTACTAATATATAAGAACTGTGTAATTTCTATGTTTAAGTGATTTTGTTCAAAACCAATGGTAGCTTAATAGCTAAGTGACATTTCTTAAAATGGTACTTTCAATCTACTGGAATTCAGAATGTGCCAATGACATGAGACAGTCCCTGCTGTAACTCCACAGACAGGTAGGCTCTTACTGGCGGAGATCATACAGCTCCTTCAGACATGCAAAGCTGGGTGCCGGTTTCTCCTGGTCACACTTCCCCTGGCTCCTTCTCCCTCGGCCAGATGACTTCAGCTCCTCCACTTGGCTCTGCAGGTGATCAATGTTGGTTTGCAGGCATTCAATCGTTTCAGTCAGGCTGTAAGGAACAGACAGAAGCCACTGCTGCTTGTCATACTGAATCAAGGGCAAAAGCGGTGAGGAGAGATTAGATGCGAGCCACTCACATTGGGCTTTCTTAATTGGAAAGGACATCTATTTAATCTCCATTCTCCAGAAAGAATTAAATTAAACTTTATCCCATATTGACCTAAACCCACTGCAGCCATGTTCTATTCTAGTTTATACTAAAGAACTTCCCTCTAGGCCTTCCTTGTCAGATTCTAGAAAATTTACCTCAGAATCTTTTGCTGTGAGGCCTTGCTGTCAGCAACTAGTTTTTGATTTGTTTCTTCCAGTTCCCTTGCTGTGACATCTAATTGTTCATAAACCTTTGCATGTTGTTCGTTCATCTGCCGTAGAAGCTCCACTTGCTTGGTCAGATACTGTAAGAGAAGATCAGGACCAGGTGACACAAACAGATAAGATACCTGCTGTTCCTTGGCTGGCCATGGTGGCTCATGCCTGTAATCCCAGCACTTTGGGAGGCCGAGACATACGGCTCACCTGAGGTCAGGAATTCGAGACCAGCCTGACCAACATGGTGAAATCCCGTCTCTACTAAAAATACAAAAATTAGGCAGGTGTGGTGACACATGCCTGTAATCCCAGCTACTTGGGAGGCTGAAGCAGGAAAATTACTTGAACCCGGGAGACAGAGGTTGCAATGAGCTGAGATGGCGCCATTGCACTCCAGCCTGGGCAACAAGAGTGAAACTCCATCTCAAACAAAGAAACAAACAAAAAAAGATACCTGCTGTTCCAACACCCATTCTCTGATTCTCAACACCAACTCTTGTTGGGGTGGGGCTGGCATACAGTCTCCATCTCTGGGCTCACTGTCCTCCCAGCACTGCCCAGAAGCTCCCTTAGACCCATTTCAGTTTTCTCCAGGCCTTCTCACATCAGCGTGATTGATTCAATTATTGGCCACTGGTGACTAAGCTCAATCTCCAACCCTTCCCTCTATCCAGAAGTTGTGGGGCTGGGACTGATAGATCTAACCCTCTAATCATGTGGTTGCTTTCTCTGGTGACCGGACCTCATCCTATCAGGAAACTCAAGGGTTTTAGGAGCTCTATGCCAGGAACCAGGGACAAAGACCAAATATATAATTTTTATTATACCGTATGTTTATTTTAAGAAAAGAAGAAATTAAACTCCCTGTCTTCCTAAGAAACGAGCACAGGCTATCCTTTATATGCTTAGCTCCCTTAATGCTCACCAATACCCCACTGCATTGTGAGGCTAATTTGCCAAAGCATATACCATGCATAAAATTAATATTCAACCAAAAAATCTAAAGTGAGACATAATAATCCCTTAAGACAAAAAGCATGGAACATGTGATCAAAGTTTAAGCAAAAACATCATGTTTAACAGAAATAAAGCCTAATGCGGAGGATTGTTTTTTTAATTATACTCTAAGTTCTAGGGTACATGTGCACAATGTGCAGGTTTGATACATAGGTATACATGTGCCATGTTGGTTTGCTGCACCCATCAACTCATCATTTACATTAGGTATTTCTCCTAATGCTGTCCCTCCCCCAGCCCCCCAGCCCCCAACAGGCCCCAGTGTGTGATGTTCCCTGCCCTGTGTCCAAGTGATCTCATTGTTCAATTCCCACCTATGAGTAAGAACATGTGGTATTTGGTTTTCTGTCCTTGTGATAGTTTGCTGAGAATGATGGTTTCCAGCCTCATCCATGTCCCGCAAAGGACATGAACTCATCCTTTTTTATGGCTACACAGTATTCCATGGTGTCTATGTGCCACATTTTCTTAATCCAGTCTATCACTGATGGACGTTTGGCTTGGTTCCAAGTCTTTGCTATTGTGAAGTGCCGCAATAAACATACGTGTGCATGTATCTTTAGAGCAGCATGATTTAGAATCCTTTGGGTATATACCCAGTAATGGGATTGCTGGGTCAAATGGTATTTCTAGTTCTAGATCCTTGAGGAATCGCCACACTGTCTTCCACAATGGTTGAATTAACTTACACTCCCACCAACAGTGTAAAAAGCGTTTTTATTTCTACGTGGAGGATTTTAACTTGGAAAAAAGATCACTTTCTTTCTCTGAGTGAGGCATCCTGGACCAAAAAAAAAGAAAAGTATGTTGCTTTGAAGAGAAAGATATGTTAGCTTAATATGCTTCAAAGACTCCTGTTATTTTTAATTTTATGAGATTTTTATCACCATTATCCTCCTTATTCACGAGAAATTTATCAGATGATTTATTCTGGTCCTGCTAAGACTGCCTCCTAAATGGCCAAGGATAAAGGGGAATAATTCCAACCTTAACGCCGCAGTGTAAGTCACCTTGACTCCCTCCCCTGCTCAGCTCTACCTGAAGATACTAAAACACAGTATATACTCCAAAGGAAATAATCACAGTATTTCCCTGGACAGAACCAGAAAGAGGGGAGAAATGGTTTGAAGCTTATTGATGATTAAACTGTAAAAGACTCAGAACTTGACTTTAAAAACACTCTTCTTGGCCAGGCACATGGCTCACACCTGTAATCCCAGCATTCTGGGAGACCGAAACAGGCAGACTGCTTAAGGCCAGGAGTTCAAGACCAGCCTGGCCAACATGGCAAAAACCGACCTCTAGTAAAAATACAAAAATTAGGCTGGCGTGGTGGCATGTGCCTGTAATCCCAGGTACTCAGGAGGCTGAGGCATGAGAATCTTTTGAACGTGGGAGGTGGAGGTTGCAGTGAACCAAGATCGTGCCACTGCACTACAGCTGGGGCGACAGAGGCTCTGTCTCAAATATAACACAACACACTCTTCTTGAGGCTTTTTCTACAACTCTACAAGTATCTGCAAGGCTAACAAACTGAAACAATGGGCTAAATAACACTCAACGGGCCCTTAAAGTGTTGAAAAAAGCATATATGGCTTTTTTTTTCAAATCCACTTATACATAACTCAGCAGCAAAGGGTTGAACAAACACTTAACCTAACTTCAACTTTTTCATCTGAAACTCTTGGGGTCAAAAGTGTTTTGGAAAATTCTTTAAATTTTAGAAAGACAACATGGCGCTCATACCTGACACGCACCTGACACTTTATAATACGTAACCTGTGAGGTCTGGGCAGCACCCTGTATCGAGCCATCAAATTTCTGCATCAAAAAGTATGAACTAAGACTATAAACAGCCTCACACCAGTTGAGGTAAAGATCTACTACCAAATGAATCTGTTGTAAATTTAAAGGGAAAAGAAAATCTTACTTTATAGAGCTTTTTGGGTTCGGAATTGGTAAGTGGTTATGGATCTGTTAGTACCTACTATGTAGAACTGGAAGAATTAAATGAGAGGTGAGCACACAGCACGGTCTATAAAAGCCTGTGTGTAATCTTCACTGCCTCAACTTCCACCAGCTTCTTCTGGTCCTTTGGAAATCAACCACTAATTCTCATGAGTGAAGCTTTTTCAGAACTAAAGGAGTAGGCCCTTAATCCTGCCCTCTGGCTAGTAAGGCCATAGTAGGTTCTTGTCATTGATGGGAACGTGTTCAATCTCTTAGGAATTGATGAGATTCCACGGAAGTGGAAAAAAGGCTTAGAATCACAAGAATACATACATAATAGCTACAGAAATTTTTCAAGCTTCTTTGTATCAAGTATAAATTATCAAGTATTCTTTAGGACTCAGAACTACCTTTAAAAAGGCTAATGTATAAACCAGACATTAATTTACTAATATACAACAGGAGCTGTTCCTGCCCAGTGACAAGAATATTCACATCCTCTACATAGGACACAGCTGCCCCACAAAGGGCATGTGAAAGGCCGATTCATGAATCGGAGTCTCTGGTAGACATGGGATCAGAGGAGTCTGATGGGAGGCAGTGATATCCTAACTAAGAGCACAAGCTTTGGGGTCAGAACCTGGTCTGAGGTTTTGCTTTGCTGTTTAGAACCGGGTGACCTACAGCAAGCACATTTTTCTTAGGTGAGTTCTCCTCATCAACCCCATAAGGCTGTGAAGATAAATATGTGTGTGGCAGAGACTGGACTATGTCACCCCAAAGCATGCGTCTTTGGCATAAAAAGTTTCCTGCCTCCTCCCTCTCTACCAGGGAGAACAAAGGTTAACCACTAACATCTTTAGAACTTTATGGGCCAGAAGACAGCATCAGAGGAATCCACACTAACAAGCTTTGCTAAGGGGCCTTTATCACCACTTATTTGCCTTCCCACAAGTTCTGCCCCTAGACAAAGTCCTTCTCCTTTGTCTTGTCACTTCTCTAAAAATTGAAGATACTAAATAAGCTGGAATTCAAAGCCACCTTTGAGAATTACTCATTCCCTGGGTATCTCCCACACATATATATGAAATAGATATGCTAATAAGTTTTTCTCTTGTTAATATGTCTTTTGTTACAGGGGTCCTTTCCAACTTAAGCGCTCATGAAGGTTGACGAAAAAAAATTTTTTCCTCCCTGACATATACAAATATATAATTTACATAAAGGTTAATATATGTAGAGAGTTAAGCATGAGATCTGGAAGATGGTAAAATTGCTCAATAAGGAGGAGCTACTGTCATCTTTATTTAAAGCTACAGTTTTCAAACTTCACATGTGCTAAGATTCACCTGGAAGATTTATTAAAGTGTAAGAACCTGGGTCTCTTTCCCTCAAAAGGCAGACTGGAGTAGAGCCAGGATTCTGCATTTTTAGCAACAAACCCAGCTGATATTAGTACAGGCAATCCACAGATCACACTTAGAGAAATGTTGATCTTGGTCATGGAAAATCCTGGAAGTCCCTGCCCTGACCAATGTCCTTTTCTCTTGGGTCTAGAAGACACAGGCATTCACTGGATCAATGATGACTCTTTGGCTTAATGCTCACCATCTCCCTTCATAGGGCTCAGCTTAGATGCAGTTACCCACTAAGATTAGGTTATATTTTAACTGTACCACAGCAGCATTCTTCATCATGTTTCATTTTGTTATGTTCTTACAATCATTAATTCCCTGAAATTACAAATTAGTCACCTTAACCTTGCTTGAGTGATCCTTCCTAACTTCTCAGTCCACACAAATACTCAATTTCTACAGATGGCTAATTTTATCCACTGCATTTTAAAACTTTCTATTGTGGACCAGGTGTGGTGCCTCATGCCTGTAATCCCAGCACGTTGGGAGGCCAAGGCGGGTGGATCACTTGAGGTCAGGAGTTCGAGACCAGCCTGGCCAACATGGTGAAACTCCATCTCTACTTAAACAAAACAAAACAAAAATTTAGCTAGGCATGGTGGCACACGCCTGTAGTCTCAGCTACTTGGGAGGCTGAGGCATGAGAATCGCTTGAACCCAGAAGGCAAAGGTTGCAGGTTGCAGTGAGATAAGATCACATCATT